GTACACTGTGCTGCTCTTTTAGTATTTCTAAATAAACTGAACAATTAGAAAATTCGTCTCCACACATCCTATCATACGTTGCTTACCGTATGGAGGGACAGACATGTGAAAGAGGTTAATTGTCTGCCTGTTTGTTTTTACTTATTTTGCACAACGCTGATTATTTTGTGTCATTTTTTTTTATTATCAAACAAGTACATTACGATTATACCTTGCCCAAGAATCAGTTTACCTTGATAACATACCTTTTGTTTTAAATCCAGAATTCCGATTTGAACAGCCTCTTAATTTTCAAAAGGATGACTTGGAAACCCAACATATTGTCTGGGTGAGGCAACATTCACAACTGGACCCTTCTCGGCGATCTCTGGTCTGACACTGGTGAGACGAGGCGCTCAAGAAGGCTGCTGTCTCTGGCGTAGGCCAATCAGTTTCAAGGACAATGCCATCTATTGTCAGAGCGTGTTTGTTTGCATGTTCGCCACAAGTACGTGTGGTTAATGCAGTAACTTGATTCCTTGCACAAATGTTTCTATTTGGTGTTTGAACATCTTAATACCTGTTTTATTGCCAGAAAGGGTAAAACCTATTCTTATTTTTTCAAACAGTTGTCCTTTGACAGAAAGTCTAGATCCTGCCATAGGGATGTGGAATGTTACTCTTTGTCATGTGTTTATTTACTTAAATCTTGACTTAAAGCTTTCGTGACTGCAGGAATTGATATTCTTTGGGTCTTTTATTTACTTACTTTTTGCAATTTTGTTGACTGCATTTCGTAACCTTGTTTATGAGTTCCTTTTCTTAGTTCTTTCGGTAAAGTCACGTAGAAGGGAAGTAATAAAATAATAAAAATAAAACATAATAAAATAAAATATTTTATTTTATTATGTTTTATTTTTATTATTTAAATATTTTATTTTATTATGTTTTATTTTTATTATTTTATTACTTCCCTTCTACGTGACTTTACCGAAAGAACTAAGAAGATGAATCCCTGCAGTCACGAAAGCTTTAAATCGAAATTTATGAGTTCCTTCTTTAGCAATTATCCCCTTCTTTGATGTAATTCTGTAATTATAGTGCAGGATGTTGAAATGCAGTTCTGTACAGCGCCTTTTGGTATCCAGGTGAGAGGCACTTTAGAAGTGTCAATTTGTATGACTATTGTCCAGCACTACCTCTGGACCACCAACAAGGATTATCACCATGATGCACTCACATGACAGAAGGAACACTTTAATTAGAGTTACCGAATGATTGACAACATGACAACATTCCTCACGTTTATGGACTCGCCGCTAAGGTTTTGGTGAGTTAGTCTGAATCATTAGCCTTCCACTCCTATGTGATCCACCACGTGATCCACTGTGACCACATGGCTTCACCATATTACAGCCGCACAGCAGGGAAACAATATCCAGTGTTCAGGAAGAGTTAAAGAGCCACAGTGTGACACTTAACGAGGGCAGAAGTAACACAAACGTTACAAATGCATTAATAAAATGAAAAAAATATATAATTGGTGATGTTTTGGCATTACACAGATTCAGTTTATTATCATCTGCTACAAAGAAGGGCTATTGCTGAAATATCACCGAATATATATTCCTTATTTTAGGCCATAGTGTTTTTGACAATGTGTGCATGTTGTTGAACTTCTTTCGCACCGTACATAGCCAACCATGCTAATCGGAGGTGCGGGGAAAGGACAACAAACTGAACATAAAAGCGATAGTTTGTGTTATTTGTGCATTACTGGCAAGGCATATCATCACCAAATAATTACGCGATGCCTGCGATTTCCCCTGAGGCTGCTACCGGTTTAAAACTCAATAAATATCGTGAGCAAAATAACATAAAAGTCACGTTTTATGTGGAACTGCTCAGGTAGTTTATAGCCATTGTCACGGGTTATTGTGACCTGATGGATTTAAACCAAAGAGCACATGCGAACAGACTGGCAAGAGGTCACTCTGAACTTGTGTTAAATTGCTCTTCAATTCAAGACCTCTTATTCAGGACCTCCAGACCATATCATCCCAGCACTCATGTATTTTGATGAAAACACCCTGCACTCTTTGGTTAAAGCATTATATGCTGCAGCTAAAACATGTATTTGTGGGGTGAACGGTGGCAGAGTGGTTAGTGCACTGCACTATGGTGCCAGTGATGCAGGTTTGATTTGTGCCGTGTTGTACATCATTGGTGAGTGGAACCTATCCTTGGCCTCCGTGATGTCTGATCTGCCTTAAATAAGTGTCTTGTGCAGTGGGGAGACATAGGTGGGTAGGTGAGGTTCTGACCACATCCCTCCATATTGTATTTAAAGTGTGTGCCTTGGTTTAATCAAAAACATATTCACGTGTGCTAAGATCATGTGCCGTGTTTTTTTCACATACTGTACCACACAGGTCAGTGCACGCTCACCAACCCACACCGACTAACTTAGTGAAGTATGGTCCAATAACCCCCAAAACCTTCACGGCGTAGGGAAGCCCTCTTCATACAGTGGATTGAGAAAATGGCTGTATGTTACTTGTGAGACATGCGTCGAATCGCATGTTTAAGCAACGATGGTTTTCAATTTTAATGTTCAATGTAAATGGATTAACATCGCTCCTGTTTCCACTACATTTACGACAATATGAAAAGAAATCGATAGTTGAGACCAGATTGTAGGATTTACATCAGCTATGGGATCCAGCAGAAGTAAGCAATAGCGAGGTGTGGTGGCATCACTGAAATTGGACAAGATCACCTCTTGACTTTTTACAATGTGAAGCAGGGTTGTCTTAAATGTGTGAGTTTTCCATCCCACGTGATTGCCTATTCCCTACATACTTTGATGTCCACTTTGCAGCAAATAGCTCATTCACTTTTCTGATTATTCCCAGCATAAGTTACCCGAAGGTTGGGGTAATTAAATCCTGAACTCTGTAATAGTTGTATATTTAATTATTCATGCCACCTACGAGTATATCTATAGATATTCTTATTCTGCTCGTGCTACATTCATCAATAATGGAGAACTGTATTTGATTGTGTTTGCTATTTCATACACATACAAAGACCCCTCATTCAGCCATACGAGCTAGTGATGTTAGTGAGCACATTAGCGAGCACAAGGTAGTATGTTCAGCACCATCCATTACATTTAGTAGCCTTTGTCTCCCCAGTACTGATGTTCACACATGGGACGACTTAAGGTTGAGCGGACCTAGAGGAGGCCCGGGGCAGGTTCGTTTACAAACTTGCCACTGAATTCTGTGCATTACAGCCAGGAAATAAACCCAGCTATTCCGAGATTGTAGTAGGCACACAGCTTGTGAACTTCTGTTGCACCGTACGAAGCCAACTGTGCTAATCGAAGGTGCGTGGGAAGGACAACAAACTAAACACAAAATCAATTCTAAAGAAATTCGTTTTCAATTTAAAAGTACAGAGCTTCAGCGGCTTCCTAAAACTCCAGTGGATTCCTAACCCCCCTCCCCTCCTGCATCCCCTCCAGCACAATTATGCAGGATGTGTCTACGCATTTCAGTGTTGTCTCCTTCACGCATTGTACAGCAATGTGCTGTCGGTCGTTGTCACTAGTCGCAGTTTGGCTCGATAAGCCTCAGGCATTTTACCTAAATCCCGACAATCCCCTGTGCTGCTGCATCCCACTTTCACACATCCGGTCTCTGTACAGGTGGCTCCGTCTGTGCGTGAGAATTGTGATGTATGTTTTGTGTGTGTGTGTGTATATATATGATGTGTGTTCTGTGTTGAGTGTTGGTGTCTTTGTCTTTGTGTAGCAATTTCTATTTGGCTGGACGGGTATAAACGGGCACTGCATGGGCTAGAGAAGAGAGGCTCTCTTCTCTAGCCCATGCAGTGGTACAGAAGGATGAACTGCTTTTTGTGTTTAGTTTGATGTCCTTCCCCCACACCTCCGATTTAGCATGGTTGGCTATGCACGGTGTGAAAGAAGTTCAACATACATATATGTCTGTACTAGCGGAGCGCTGGGCGGTAAAACCGCAGAGAGTTGACAGTTGGTGAATCTGCCAGTCACCTCAGTCAACCCATGGCACCTGGGTCTGTTCCGTGACCTCCTACCAGCAGCCTTTCGTCACTTCACATGGCCTCAAAGGGCACCTAGCGTGGCACAAGTGCCATGGTGACATCACCACAGAGGTCGCAATCGGGTACCCGATACCCGTACCCTACCCGATACCCGGCTACTCGTAACCGGCCGCGTACGGGTAGTCGGCTACCCGTACCCGTTTGCGACCCTGGTGCGGTCGGGTACGGGTAAGGAATCAAATCTCGTTTGCGACCTCTGCATCACACCACCACTTCATGGTAAATGGCAGTTGTGGTTGTGTAGGGGCGCAGTAGTGCAGTGGTTAGCACACTGCACTATGAACCTGGTCACCCGAGTTCGATTCCCGCTCATGGCCAACACCAGTGACAATTATCTGAACCGGTCCTGGGCCTCCCCTAGGTCGACTCGGCCTCAAATGAGTACCTGGTGCGATGTGTAAACTTTGCAACGAGAGAGAAAGGAAGCCAGGTGTGATGCTGGCCAACCACCCCCTCATGTGCTGCGCTGACTTTCATAGGTGCTCGCTAACAGCACTCGCCCCAACAGTCTGTCAAGGTTATATGGGAGATATTTGCTTTTATTTTGGAGGGATGCGCATTGAGCTCCAAACCCGATGGACCTCAGCTCAATTTATGGCCATGGCTAACATAGGTGGTGAATTATATCAGAGCCCATCCTAGGCTTCCCTTAGGTCGACTCAACCTTAAATGCGTACCTTCTGCAGTGTTGCAACTAGTGTGAGCCATACCACCAACTCGTGTTCTGTTTCAGCCTTAACAGATGTTCACTAGAAGTACTTGTCTTGACACTAACAGCGACGATGGGGTACTATAAACTATTGATTTTGTTTAAATTCTCCACCACCACGCGAATGATTATTGAAGTATATACACTATAATTTTGCATCGAATTAGCACTCATATATCGTACAGGGTTCTTACCTTTAGATTGCTAGTTCACCAGCATTGATCCAAGCAAGCCTGAATGCTGAGGAGACAATGTATATTGAAAGTGGCCCAGAGTTTGCTCGTCTTGAATCAATGCTGCAGAAATAATGCACTCCCAGAAGGCCGTGGGTTGTGGAAGAAATACTTTTATTTTTATGTGAAAAGACAGAAATATGATCAAGACATTTTGCTATATGGATAATAGTTGTGTGTATAGTGTGCATGCTTGTAAATGTGTACAATGTGCATGTTCGCTTTGTGGCTATGTGGGTTTCTGCATATGTAAATGTTGTTTATTGTGTATGTCGAGTGGGAATAGTATGCTGTCTGCCACTGTGTATGTGTATATGGTGTATTTGTGATTGTGTTCTGACACTGTGGGGAGCTGTGGTGCAGTGGTTCGTGTACCGTGCTGCAAATCCAGCAACCTGATATTCAATCACAGATTCACAGCCACGACTATCATCAGTTGAGATATTAAAACTGGTTCCAGGCGCTCCCCTAGGTGTCGGTCTTGATAGGTGCTGTCTGGTAGCACTTTTCTTTGTTAGCACACTAGTTTAGTTCACGACCACACACACCACTGGCCAGAGGTGTTGTGTGTGGTATAACTGAATACAGATTGGGTATCTTCAAGGTTTATTCGGACAAAAATAGGTACCTACCTGAAAATGTGAACAAGCAACCAAAACGTGCATGTCATGATCTTATCACCCGTAATAGGTGCTCGTTAACAGCATTTGCTCCAACAGACTCCAGGTAGTCCCCGAATTACGATGGAGATGCGTTACGATGACCCCATCGTAAGTCGGGGACTCTCTGTATACTACTGTTGCTTCAACATAACTCGAGAGTAGTTTCAACATTTATTGTCTCATTGGCAACCAGACTTGTATGAACCAATGTTGGTGAACTGCCAGATCTTTATAGGCAAAATATACGTTAGATGTGGGTCCTAGTGTGATGCAAAGCTATATAATACACTACACATCATTAACAGGTAATGTCGTTGTGGAGAATAAAATTAACAATGTAAATAAAGAGACGATAAGGCTCAATGTAAATGGTGAACCTTTGCGTGTGAATATGTATGGAAGAGGCATGATGGTTATGTAGGGTGGGGTGTTCAACAGACAGGCTGCTGTTGGAACTTTGCCAAACCAAACTGCAGCATGAATGAAATCGGCAAAGCCATACAAAGATCCCCCATATAGCCTTAACTGACTGTTGAGGCAAGTGCTGTTAGCAAGTACCTATGAAGGCCGGCACAGCACACAAAGGGGTGGGTGACCAGCACAACAGACACACAGAGAAAGACATACGAGGGCAAAGTGGGGGGGGGGGGGGGGGCATACAGGGAGGACGCTGGGAGCGGCTTTTAGGAAAATAATAAACAGCCCACATGTTGCAACCTGCAGCCCGAGTGACTTTCATAAGCCTTAGCCTCAGTGTTTATCTAGCAAACACACAAGCGAGAGCACATGAAATCATCATTTGCCAGGAAATTAAGGCAGATGTGTGTCCTAGTGGTCAGTGCTCTTGCTACTAAGCCTCTGCGTGGAGGAGACAGTGTGCAATCTGGGGATTTAGCAAAATGTACTGCATTGCAAGATTGTAAGGTGGCGGCGGCGGCTTGGGGAAGCTTTTATCCAGAATTGGATTGATCATGACTGATGATGACAGTTTCGTGTGCAATATTGAAAATTCATTTACAGCAGTAAATAATGTGATTGTGATGAAGTCAGAATATCAAGTTTGAGCATTTAATGATTTCGATATTTTCTGTTTTTTCAGGTCTCTCACTAATAGTGGGACAAATCATCAAAACCATTTGATTTTTTCTTCCTTTTCAAACTCAAATTAGAATTGAGGTGGTGCTTATCCCCTGTTTACAGCCCTGAGCCAATCGTGGAAATTACACATTTCTCTGGTGGGGGCGTATATAACCATAGGACAAACACGGTTGACTTCCCCATTCAGTGGTGTTCATTTTATCAACCTCGAGGGACAATGTACTGATTCAACCCCCAACTAGGTTTTGAACTCGCAACTTTAGGATTTCGAGCCACTCGTTCAACTGCTTCTTCTTCTTTTGTTTGGCTGATGTAGATGCAGAGCAACTATGATTTCACATTCAGATGGTCAAGCCCAATAACCGCATCAGGAGTAGCAGAGTGTATAGCTGTGATGTCTCCTTGGTATTTGTGATTCGGGTATTGCATCGTTATATGTTGTATGGTCACTGGAGAGTTTTAAGTTTCCATTCGTACAAAAACTCTATCGCTGAGCCACCTGGACTATTGCAATACCTTGTTTAACAGAATTCCAACTAAACAACTTCTCTCTCCCCCCCTCCAGCCGATCTCTCCAGTGCTGCTGCGGTGGTCCACTTCCTGCCCCGCCTCCCCCCCCACTTCTCTCTTCCCCCCACTGCCGAGGCCTACTATATAACCTCGTGCCACGGCAGATCTCTCGCCTACTTCAGCAGTTTTTTTTGCTGTGGTTGACCCACCTGATGACGATTGCTTGTGTTGCGATCGAAACGTCGTGATTTATTTTATTTTTCTACCTACGTGACTTTACCGAAAGAACCAAAGAGTATGGATTCCTGCAGTCACGAAAGCTTCAATGATAAAGTAATGTAAATTTACCCCAAAGTCAGTTTAACACGTAGTGCTGTACTAGTGACGAACTGGAATGTTCTGTTTACGTGATGACCCTTACTAGTTGGCTGTGTCGGGTGGTGGTGGGTTTTAATGACACATGTATATATTTATGCGATCTAACCCAAAAAAAAACTTTACCCCAGAGTACCAAAAACTACCACAAACTACCACAAAGGGCCTCCGCACACAAAACAATGTAGATGTGGGGAGCTTTAGTGTAGCAGTTAGCGCATTATGCTTCAAATCCCACGGCCCGAGTTTGATTCCTGCTATTATCTGAACCGATGCTTGGCCTCCCCTAGGTCAACTCAGCATCATATGAGGACCTGATGCGATGTGTAAACATCACAACTAGTGATGCTGGCCACCCACTCCCTCACGTGCTGTGCTGACTTTCATAGGTGGTCGCTAACAGCACTCGCCCCAACAGTATGCTAAGGCTACAGGATGGGATCTTTTTCTTAAAACAGTGGAGGTGCTTGAGTTTGCAAAAACGAGTCAAAAAGCCTGGCACTCTCCTAAGACTGCAAGACGCAGCAGCAGCAGCGACGTAGGCCTACAAACTCCCGTAGTCGGCCCTCAAGCTCCCGTAGTCGACCCTGACGACATTGCCAGACCACTAATCAGCAATTCACGAGCACTGATCGACAAAAACAAAAGACAGCAAGTTTACTAAATACTCTACCGCACTCTTGACCACTCTAACCTCCGCATTCTCTGGTCCTTTCTCAACCTGGGAATTCGACGCTAGTATTGCCCAGATAAAATCCGGTAAAATCGCAGGCCTTAGTAGGATATATCCTAAATGCATGAAGAACTTAGGACTATGCACTAAAAAAATGGCTTGCCAATTTCCTCACTGACATCCACTCCTGAGTTGTGGTACCAAAGGAGGTGTTCAGATGTTCAAACACCAAATAGACACCGATTGCAAGGCATCAAGTCATCATTTTGATACTAACAAAAAATGATCCCATAGATACCATTTTTCTAATAAAACTTTCTCTTGAAAAAAACCTATGTGCGAACATACGCCGGAGTTTACTTCAGAGCTACTCTAGTATTAATAACCACAGGGGCTTCCAACTGCAATCACTCGGCCAGCCACCCCTTCTACAAAACATCAAAACAACACCAGCTACAATTCCTCTCAAGATAAAGATGTTATATTCTCTCTCTTGGGTCTAATTGTAGCAAAACAAAAACGTTCACATTATGCACGAACCTATTTAAAATTGTTGCTTTTTTCTCAATTAAATGGTATGATGTTAATGTCCGCAGTGTCATTACGGACAGGGTAAATAGTTGTCCACCGAGGGGTAATTCCGCATGTGCACGCACACACACACACAGGCATGGGGAGACAATGCTCGCGTTTACTCTAATGACACGTCACACGATATTCCGCTTCGGGTTGCGTTATTGCTTGCTTGATAAAGTTACATTTATTTAAAGCTTTATGAGACCATTTTTTGTCGTTTTTTGTTTTCTGGATTTTTTTGTCAGACCTGAATACTATCCATTCATAGTGGCAGAACAGCAGACCACCCAGAGAGACATTACTGTAGCAAGTAATCTCAAAACACAAAACTACAGCTGAAATGACTGCTCATTATACTCCAACGGAAAAACGCAATTTGCCTGTGCATAATTAAATATATGCACGTGTGTTTATGCAGCCTATACTTTTCTCATTTTTCTGCTTTAGCTCAATTCATCATTTATCGTACAATGTATGGCGATGTGAAGTATTCCCATGAAAAAAATACTTATTGTCTCCATGTACTTCTATCTGGTTATAACACAAGATGAGGCACTCATTGGACTCTCAGGCCAATGGCACTCACAATAGGTTAGTTCGGACTCTGGGCAATCTGTTGATTACTAAAGGCAGATGAGCCTCAAACAGTCCAATAGCATGTACAAACATTGAGAAAAGAGTGGAAGTAGCCTGATGTATTGTTCCGGCCACGTACCACCACACTGCTACTACTAGGGGACTTCATTGCTGAGGTAGGAGCTAAGTATGGTGAGCATGGAATAGGACATACTTATATTGGAATCAGGTTCTGTGAGATTTGCAGCAGCAATAGATTCATTATCTGTACCACAGTTTGAAGAGAAGTCACAAGCTGACATGGAGATCATGCAATGGTAAGACTGAGACTCTTGATTGGTTACATTGCAACCACGCAACATCGGACATGTTTTCTTAAGACCAAAGTTAACACGGCTGCAGAAATTGTTTGACTTTTGCAGATATATTTGTCAGTAATGACTGGGTGCTTCCCAGCCACACAAATGGGCAGTTGAGAATTGGGGACAGGTAGAATAATAGACTGGTCAAAGATGAGAACAGGACCTTGCAGTGATCAGGGTTCTCTTAATTGTTATTCAAGGATATTTAATATACTATTTGATATTACTTGATATACAGGGTTGTAAATATGTAGTTCTAGTATGTATAGCTAAGGGCACATATTTTGAATGTATTTGTTTTTGAACCTAGGCCTACAAAAATGAGCATGTGCGGGTTTTCAAGGGTGCTGATCCAAATTACATTTTCAAGAATGAAATTTGTCAGATACTTTTTTAAAGAGTGTCAGACTAAGGCTGATAGCATATTTTAACTGCTGCATTGCTAGAGGTAAATACTTTTGATAATAAAATAATATTCAAGTGTTTGCTGGGTTACATCTGCCTCTCAGGTCCAAACGAACAACATTTAAGGTATTCATACTCTTAGGTTTTTTCGGTAAAGTCACGTAGGTTAAAAAATCAAATTAATAAAAGTAAGATAAAAATCACGACGTTTCGGAGGCAACACAAGCTTCCGTCTTGATACAGCAATCGTGCTGTGACGGTTCCACCTGAAGACGGAAGCTTGTGTTGCCTCCAAAACGTCGTGATTTTTATTTTACCTTTATTAATTTTAATGTTATTTTTTACCTACGTGACTTTACCGAAAAAACCTAAGAGTATGAATCCTTGCAATCACGAAAGCTTCAAATCTAAAATTTAAGGTCCCTACTCCATGAGACATGCATTCGTCTGAACGCACATGCATGCGTGTTTGTGTCACCGGGATTTGGACCCCAGCTTGATGTCTCTCCACTGCTGTCCAGCGCTCCTCCGGTACTCCTCCAGCTCCTGTGTAAAGTACAATATGTCAGTTGTCATCGTCATCATTTCCTGCACTATTACTTTCATATAATCTGTTCAAACGTTGCCTTACTTTAATCAGATTTTGACGAGTCAATTAATCTATTTTGCAAGCAACCCCTGCGTCTCCCTTCAATTAGTCCACAAAAAACAGAAAAATCAGTAAAGCCCCGGCTAGTAGTCTGATTGTGGGGAGTCCTGGTCCAGCTGAGTCTCAATTCTAGGAACACAGGGTCGAGGTCGCTAGGGTTTTTATACTGGAGTGTTATTATTCTTTCATATGCAGAGGTTTTTTTCTTGGTACTCTGGTTTCTTTCTGCATGTAAAACATGAACAAGGAATTGGCAGAACATTTCATTGCACAACCTCCATAAAAATGAGTCTTGAGACTCAAGGAGCCTCTGGTGGATGGAGGACATCAAACATCCAATAAGAAAGGAAGTCCAGCATGAGGTGTTCACCTGGTCCTTCTGGGCTCGCATGGCATCCACGGCCAGCTCTGCGTACTGCTTGTCCTTGGCTGGGTCTCCGTCTTTGTCCCGTCCATCCACCTCCTGTATGGATAAGGATGAATTCAAGCGGCGCTCAGCGAGCATCATTATCCTTATCTAACCAAATCACAGAACATTAAAATGCATTCCAGTTTTATTTCCATTTGTATAATAAAGTGCTGTATGTAGCATTACTGAAACATATTTCTGTGGCTCCAAAGCCATAATAATGTTTTCCCATTCACATTATTGTTGTGTTACTGGCTAAGTGGCTTGTCAGTAGGGTCAGCGGCTTGCAATCAAAATGTTGCAAGTTCAAATTCTGGGTGGGGCTTGGCTCAGGCATAATATAATGGGATCGATAAATAAGTTCCACTTTGTTGGAAAATTAACACTTGGTTCTCCTATGGATAAGCTTGTAGACTAAATAGGAATGCAGAGTTTTCACCACTTGCTGGAGATGAGCATCGCCGCAATGCTCATTTCAACAGAAAATCACTTTGACTACTTTTTTTGAGGAGATAAGTTTAAAATATCACGAACAATTGCAGCTCACCTCTTGTGGAAATATGGCCTTGTAAGATTTCTCCCAGAGCTCCATAGGGCTGCGTGCGTGAATGCGACCCATTTCCTTCTGAGAGACGGGTGGGCCACCTAAGAGGGGGCACAGATTGTGTCTTGAATGTGTGCCTATACCAAGTTATGCAATACCCGATCACTACTACTTAAGATTTGTTTTATTTAGCGGTGTGTTAAAACGCTGACAGTCACTTGCTCAATTAACTATACAGTAAATTGATTTGGTCGCTTGCCCATTTACTCACTCCAGCATTACGGTAAGACCTCTCTTAACGTGTTTTCCATATAACGCGGTTGTTCTATGAGGAAACACTTTTTGTGCAACATGTAACGTGCCCGTTATAACGTGGAACGCACACCGTTTTCTGACCAGTCAATGTAGAACTATTTTCTTGAGATGTGAGGCTGACTGGTAGGATACAGTACATGGAATAATACAGTAACAGGGCAGCATACCCTCAGTTATTTGTACCAGTATCTTACTGTGTGTGCGTATATTGTATCTCGCCAAACTTTATCATTACATTATTTATAGCGACATTGTTTTCATTCAACACGCATCTACAGCGTTAAACAAAGACTTACTGTACTCATGTACATATTAGTCTGCACACAGGTCAACTCAGCCTTAAAAATACTACTTGTTTCATTGTATAAACATCAGCAATGGGGAGGCAAGTAGGTTAGGATGGGCACTGTACTAATCCTACATTCTTAAGTGCCATGATAACGTGATAATTGTTTTTTTACCCTTCTATCTGGCAACAAAACTGACACCTTTTTACAAGGAGTCATGTTTGCATAGACCGCAATACCTGCAGTCATAATACAAACAAAAGACATAACTCTGATAATGTGCACTGTCCTTGAAGTTGATTGGTCCACACCCGAGACAGCTTTCCTTAGAGCCTAGTCTCACATGGGTTGGACCAGATGACGCCAAAAGGCGCAATCCCTGCGTATTGCGATCTATGCAAACATGACTCCTTGTAAAAAGGTGTCAGTTTTGTTGCCAGATAGAAGGGTAAAAAAACTATTATCATATTTTTACTGGCAAATGAGGTTCCCATGGTGCCATGCTAACCTTAATATTTGCTCACTCAGCGCCTGCCCAAAATGTCACCAAGGCTGATACAGGCATCGACGTCGTATGTTGTGTATGTCACACACAATGTCTGTGTACCGATATTCTGCAGAGAGTCTGATCCTGCTTGAATCATGAGTGGCTTCCCATAGTCGGTGACGCTGACTCTCCTGAAGAGAACAGAGCACGTGTCCTGCTCAGCCACTCACTCTCTCCACACTGCATTGTAGTGCCAAGCACACTGGATGATATATACACACACTGCATTGTAGTGCCAAGCACACTGGATGATATATACACACACACTGCAGAAATCAACATCCAGCCAGGTGGCTCAGCGGTAGAGTGAGTGGCTCACAATCAGAAGTTTGAAAGTTCAAAACTTGATGGAGGGCTATCTCAAACTATCATCCCTCTGGGATCAATTAAATACTACCACTTTGTGAACAAGTGAACAGTGGTTGTCCTATGACTTGCCCCCTGCTTAGGGATGTGAGAGATGAGCACCACCTCAATGCTCATTTGAGCAGCACATCACATTTGTGAATCAACTGGCAGGTCACTTGTGGTGAGTTCAAAAGTTTGGCTATGCAATTATTATTGCCACTTCACAGTCTGCAAAATGAGATTAACCTGGCAAAGCTGCACTTCTGTAGCCTTGCAAACACTAGGTCGCTAGTAATGGATAATTCCCACCATTGGCTTAGTTTAGCCAATGAAGCTAATGACCACTCAATGTTCATTTAAACATTAGTCACCTTGACTTTAAGTAAGTGTACTTATCCAAATAAGAATCTTAATTATCTTGGATGAATCCGATGAGCTATGAAGCTCTTTTTCAAAAATGTCAGTGTTTGTGGGTCAGCAAATTACAACAAACTACAACAAATTATCGGAGTGCAAAGTAAAGAAAAGGTAAGGAAGTCACTAAAATTTTGACTTCAAACTTTCGTGACTGCAGGAATTCATATTCTTTGGTTCTTTCGGTAAAGTCACGGAGATAGAAAAAATAATAAAAAATAAAGTGAATAAAAATATCACGACGTTTCGATTGCAACACAAGCAGTCGTCATCAGGAAAAGGGGTTAGCCTCTAAAGGAAAACTGTTTATAAAGGTTTGGAGATGGGCGTAGCCCAAGTGTATCAGCAGCACCAGCAGCATGCGTGGGGTAGCAATGCCAATGCAGCAGCAATGCCAATGCAGCAGCAATGCCAATGCAGCAGCAATGCCAATGCAGCAGCAATGCCAATGCGGCAAAGGGCCGCCAGGAAATCACTGCACCCGCTCCACACACCACACTGCTGACGGTGAAGGTTGATTGACAAGACAACACAAGTCAAGTCATGACCCAAAGTGGTTGATGACATCCTTTCCAATGATTGCTGAGTCTACAACCTTCCTCTCGGTTGAAATCATGTCTGTGTCTATGGATGGCTTCATGAACGAATCTTTGTTGATGGCCAGTAGGCTTGCAAAGTACCATCGTCTTTGAGAAATCAATTTCGTGTGAGCCAGCCGCACTAAAATAACCGTGTTCGTGAACATAAGGGAGATTTGAAATACGTAAGGACCAATACTTCTGCCGTGGCTGATCATTATTTTAATGCGGCTGGCTCACACGAAATGTATTTCTCTAAGACGATGGTACTTTGCAAGCCTACTGGCTATCAACAAAGATTCGTTCATGAAGCCATCCATATATACAGACACAATTTCAACCGAGAGGAAGGTTGTAGACTCAGCAATCATTGGAAAGGATGTCATCAACCACTTTGGGTCATGACTTGACTTGTGTTTTCTTGTCAATGAACCTTCACCGTCAGCAGTGTGGTGTGTGGAGCGGGTGCAGTGATTTCCTGGCGGCCCTTTGCTGCATTGGCATTGCTGCTGCATTGGCATTGCTACCCCACGCATGCTGCTGGTGCTGCTGATACACTTGGGCTACGCCCATCTCCAAACCTTTATAAACAGTTTGCCTTTAGAGGCTAACCCCTTTTCCTGATGACGACCGCTTGTGTTGCGATCGAAACGTCGTGATATTTTTATTCACTTTATTATTATTTTTTTCTAAGTGACTTTACCGAAAGAACCAAAGAATAAGTCACTAAAAATAAATAAAATATATAAGTACAATTTGCATAAGTACATAAATTCAGACATCACTGCAATTCACAACCATCCTAAAATAAAGTTTGCAGAAAAAAACAATCCGAGTATAATGATTTTTCAATTGTTATGCTCGTGATAAACGGAATCGCGTAATAATCAATTACTGCTGAATCATATACGAGGCATGGGACTGGTTTATGGAAACTCCTAAGCCACTTAAGCCACATGCACCACCCTGGCAAAAAGATAATGTGTGCTTTATATTATAACATTGTGAATGACAATCATTGAATCACCGACAAAAATTCAGCTGTTTGTCAAACCACTCACCCAAGCAAGGTGTGGTAAGCCAGATGGTTGATCACATTCCGTGCCCGATTCATTAATGCATCCATTTTGTTGCTGCAAAACTGAAATACAAAAACCCAGCATACTCTTTGGTTCTTTCGGTAAAGTCATGTAGGTATAAAATTAAATACATCACGACGTTTCGGGCGCAACACAAGCGTCCATCATCAAGTGGGAAAGCATGGTGTGCTGCTGAGGCAAATTGCAGATTGCCTCAGCAGCAGACCATGCTTTCTCACCAAGAACCAAAGAGTATGGATTCCTGCAGTCACGAAAGCTTCAAATCAAGATTAAAAACCCAGCACTTACGAGATTGCATAAAGGCGCCTTGAGACATTATTGAAAGGCGCCTTACAAATAAATGAGCAAAAATTAATTAATCTCGCATAATCAGCGAAGGGCCGCTTCATCACGTTGACGTTAAACCCGCTACCACCTGAAACAACCAATTAGTAAGGTATGTTATGTAAACAAAACATGCTATTCATTACTCGTTCAATACACCGGTGTGTTGGAGAGTAAACCCATAACATTTGCAATTCAAGTACAACGTTTCGCCAGTAATTACAACCAGCCTTATCAGGAGACAGCCAGAGTTGTGGAGAAATCCCCCTTCTGTTTCGGTCTTAAATAGAGAGGAGGGATAAATGTGATGTTGTCCCTTGTGAGCCAATCGGGTGCGAAGACTGGGGGGGAGGGGGGGGTGTTCATATAAATTACAATAGATATATATTATTGGTTTGGTTATTCATAGTTAATATACATAGATAATGTATGTACATCACGCATGAATATTATGCATGTACATTTTGAATATACATTACTTATGTAAATGTTTCAGTTTTTGGGTGCAAAAACCACAATACCTGTTATTGGCTGCTCACAGTTAATCACCATCGACGTATGGTGACCACTATAGGGCATATAGTTAAATAGTTTATTACTTGATAATATGCTTCAAAGCAGCATAAAGCCTGTAGCTATTATAACGGTTATTTTTATTTATTTATCTGAATTTCAATAGATTATCTGATTAGTCTTGGCCAGTAGTAACTAGTTTTGCACAAAACCTCAACATCGAACTCGGGTCGCCAGGTTCGTAGCGCAGCATGCGAACCACTGCACTACCATACCATACACACACAACAACAACCGCCGTTCGCCACGAAGTGGCGGTGACATCAACACAGTGATAGTGCTAGGTGCATTTTGAGGCCACGTGAAGTGTTGAAGGCTCCATACTCTTGGTTCTTTCGGTAAAGTCACGTAGGTAAAGAAAATTTAAAAAGTAAATAACATTAAATCACGACGTTTCGATTGCAACACAAGCAATCATCATCAGGTGTGAACACCACAGAGAGATGCCAGGAGGCTATATAAGTCAAAGAGGGGGGGGGTTGGGGGGGAAACGGAGGGGGGGGCGAGGGGGAGGGCGCCTCGTGGACGCCAGGGATTGGGAACGCAAACATGGGCGGGTGGGGGGGGGGGGGAAGTAGAGGGGTGACGAGCTGAGTTAAATGGGCCCAAGTAATCGACCACAAAAAGTAGCTAATTATAATTTTTAATAGAATGAATCAACAAATCATCGTAGCTCTTGTAAATATAAAATGTTGTAGGCCTCGACAGCATCCACAGTCATTACTGTCATTACCTTGTCTCAGAGCAAGGATTACATGATCGTGTTTTCTGTGCTGACTTACCAGCAGCGTAGCCACATTGTAGTGAGCTATAAAGCGCATGGTCTTGCTGATCACCTTTCGCTTTTCCGAGTCAAAGTTCTGTTGTGCATAAATTGACATTTTGTTCAAAATTACACACAGAAGACACCTCATCACCATCACCATTAAAACTGCCTTTATTCGAAATAATATGGGATAACATTTTGGTCAGTGGCTCCTTTAAAGAGAAGATGCTTTATTAAATGTCCATTTCTCAAAACAGCATATTTATTCTGTTATAAGACAAAAATAAAGATAACGTTGTGTTAAAAGTGTGCATGTATAGAATGACCTGATTTCCTACACCTCCGATGACCACGGTTGGCTACGTACGGTGTGAAATATATTAAACATATATACAATGCAGTCCCTTTGTTTCATATTTTAACGCTTTCTGGCAAAGGTTGAATATGTTAATACATTATATTTGTCTGGCCATCTGTCTGTTTACTCAATGAATACTCTACATCTCTGCACACGTGTACAAGGCATGATGCTTAGTCATCATTTTAATTATACAAATGCATTAACTAGCCTGACAGTAAAGTATTGACTTTTCAGTTCCAATATGGTATGTAATTTGTAAGTTAAGTCGTCTCTACAGGCAAATATGAGCAGGAAGGCGAGATGTAAAAACCAAGTGAGTCATACCTGGAAGATGTCATATTTCATGCCAATGATTACCAGGGGTAAGGGAAATGGGTCAACCATTGCCTTATCCTAAAAACAGAACCACACAATTAGATTGGTATTATTAAAATGTCAGCATATGGGTCAACATATAAAATGCGAATAAAAACACGTGCTGTGGCACGCACGTGCGCCAGTACCGAGTGTTCGCTGCCCAGACGCTCAGCAGCCTGTTGTCGGAGGGCATCGGCCGCATGCTTCTGCGTCTTCGCGAGCTCGGCGATTGCGGACACGGCGTGTGTACGGGCGGCTCTGAGCAGATCGTCGAGTGTCCTCCAGAGCTGGCCGGGCTCCGATAGGTCCAGCACCAGCACCACGGACAGCGAGCTGCATTTCATAAAGAAGCACCAGTGAGGTGGCCCCGTAGTTCAGAGGCGGCAGCGCTGAGGTCCTGGGTTCGAATCCAGACAACCTGCATGTGATTAAACAGTGTTCTCAAATGTAGAGAGTTAGTCTCAGACCAGTCAACAATGACTTCCATAGATTCACATAGACTGAGTTGTGATTAAACCATGTTCCCAAGTGTGGAGAGTCTGATGGTAAAATCTGGTTCTGTACTTAATTTTGAGGATCTCTGTTGTTAGAAAGTCCTGGCCAGATGTAGTTACATAAGGAGAAAGAGTTTCTGCCTTATGTTTATAAACCTCATTTAGGTAATGCCATTAGTCAATAAGGCAAGTAGAAATGCTTTTTAAATGTATATACAAATGTTATATGTTAATTAGTATAATCATGATTATTAATATCGATGCAATAAATTTGGATTGTTTATGTAAAGCAATGTGTTACAAATGACGGTTGTGGGTGTGCACAGCACCTCAGGTTTGATGGGACTATGAAGATCTTGATGAGGTCAGTGAGGAACGTTCCACCTCCCAGCTCCCATACATGAGCCACATCCTTTACCTGGAACAATTAAATTATAATCAAAGCTGCATTAAGATGCCTTCATTCAGTCGTAGACTAACAAGGAACTGTACTTTTTTTACGTGTAATATTCACATATAAACCTACACTTATAAATAGCCATACTGTCCAGGGCAGTGCGTGTAAACTCAAACTTTTAAATAACAATTAATATTTAATTCGTTTCTTGAGTGAATTGATAGCTCAACCATAGAGTGAGAAGCTTGCAATTGGATAGCTCCAAGTTCAAATCCTTGTTGGAGTTCAGCCGGGCAGTAGTGGCTACGCACGCCTGTAGCGCTGTGAAGGCAGCGTAAGTTGGTGGATCACATAAGTGTTGTGAAACTCCCTTCCCATGGGTGTCGAGGTACCATACCCTGGCTCACCAGGGGAAGCAATACATCAAGTGGATTAATCACCCTTCATTTCCATCTGTACAGGGATGGTGTTGCCCCCTTGTGCCCATGCGTCTTCTCCGGGTGTTGCTGTTTCCTCTCAAATGTAAACATTCGTTAATTGGCTGAAAACGTCTAAAAATTGAAACCTAACACAGGGCCCTCCTAAAAAAAGAGTCCTACGACTAAGTGTGGCTCTCTTGGATAAATGAGTAAATATCAGACAACTCATCATCCTTCTGGGGTCAATAAAGTGAGAACAGTGGTTGTCATATGGATAGACTCACCCCCACCACAGAAATGGAATTTACACCACTGGCTCAGTGTTGTAAACAGCTGAGTACCAACATCATCCCCTAAAGTGACATATCTTCCCAACTGACTTACTCTTCTTAACAGTCAAATAAATGTTTTCCTTCTCTCAGTATAATCCAAAGTATCTCCCAACACATCTTTGCGAACTACTGAGATTTTTCTCCATCTTTTTTGTCAGTGTACATGTTTCTAATACATGTCAAAGCAGGCAATAATAACTGTTTAAACGCTCTCTCAAGACACATTGGCATATTGCTTCTCATCAAACAGCAATGTGGTTTGTTGCATTGCAAAACATTGAGGTATGGTGACGACTTGGGGAAGCCTTCATTAAGCAGTGGTTCATGGCTGACAATGAACAATGAGCATCTGACACTTTGATAGACTTATAGGGCCAAAAATGGTGATGAAAATGCTGAAAAACATTGCTATGGCGATTTGGCCGAATATTATGGAGACAGCCCTTTTTGAAAAAAAAATTGACAAAATAATGGGCATTAACAATTATGAATCGAGCACTCGTCTTTTTCAAACGCTTCTAAAATGGATAGGAGTCTTTGGAAACAATGGATTTGAGATGTAATTGTCGAGAACTAGCCAGATGCTGAACACACGTGTTTAAATATGTACGCATCCCCCATATGCATACGTAAAATTTGAAGGCCTTATAACTCACCTGTCCTCGTGAGTGGCGACTATAGGCGTACTCCAGTGCCGTGGTGGCCTTTGGAGGCTCATCATCCCTGCCACACACAGCCAAACCACAAGCTGACATTATGCCCACCAAAATTACTATAAAAAGTATAATAATAATCTATTACACAACCAAAAAAGCAAATAGCACATATTGTAGCTACATACCTAGGCTGCAGGCTTCAGACATGACATGAGTTGTATGCCCACGCAGTTCATTACATCAGAAGTGACAGTGCTTTGACGAAACGAAAAACTATTTTTCGTGAACGATGCATCAAACTCATGCTACAGCCAAGGTACATAGCTATTATATGAGTGGAATTTAATTTCTGGGTTGTGTCTGATTGAAAGACACTACAAACTCTGGAAGCTCACTTGTAAAACTGTTAAAGTTATTCAAGAGTCACGAAAGCTTCAAATCAAGATTCAAATAAAGATATTCATTGGGCTAAAGTCCGGTTTCATAACGATACTGTAATACAAAAAAAACATCTAGAGTATATTCTTTTATGTTGGTATTTTGTATGCTCTATTCAAAAGTGTACTATATAAAGTACTTGTTCCCTTATTATTTATAGAAAATTTTCATTGCAAACATTTCGAGTTTGCCTCAACTATAAAGGACACTGACTGTATTACGAATCTCCTTGGTTCTTTCGGTAAAGTCACGTAGAAGGGAGATAATAAAATAATAAAAATAAAACATAATAAAATAATACAAGTCTCACGACGTTTCGCCACAACGCAAGCAGCCGTCCTCAGGTGAAGAACAGGTCTGTCGGAAAGACAGCGTCTGAATGAACACCACCCAGCTTGGCAGCGTATATTTAAGCTGGGTTAGGGGAGGAAGAGCGCCTTGACAAAGGAATTTCCATATCAACAGATGAATTTAGCATATTTATGGAAAAAGCAGATATATATGTATTACGAATGTTTGAAGGTACCTTACCGATCCTGAAACCGATGAATCAATGTTGTCTTTCCCTAAAAAAAACATGCATACATTTATGATCACATTTATGAAATACACGGATATGGAATAAAATTATTCTACAAAGCAACATCAAGAGACACATGGGTAGTGAGATGGCAGAACCAGCAGGTTTATGACAAATCTGTGAAGGGGAGGTGTGGTGGTAGACTGGGGGATGATAGGCATGACAGTATAGTGCACAATCCACAATACGTACCGTATGTTTTGATTTTTTCCAAACACAAACACTGCACACACTTATGCATGTACCACATTTACACATATACACAGGTGTTTTTGCTACATTAATTTTCAAAGCATTATCTGCTAGCTTGACTTCTCAACTATCTTGACTAGGGCTAGCTCGTAGTGGTCTCAGTGGCAATTTACCTGTACATCACCACCCCACCGCCCTCCCTTCAAACAAAGGTTCCTGTGCATGGGGCCACCATTGATGAAACCTAGGCTGGGAATATTCCTTGTAACAAGCACTGAGTGGGAATGTTGATGGCATGTAATATTTCACTCAGTAATCATCTTTCAGAAGACAATAGTTGAAAACACTAAATCTGATCTTCTGCAAGTGGATTCATCGATTACAGACTCAACATATTCCTCAATAACACTCTTTTAAATGAAAAATAGATAACAGGCGATGTTTTGGGCAATGGCCATTCTTCATAGCACTGCCAATGCAGCATCACCAAATGATTCACCTATAAAAGAGCATGGACCACACCCAAGGGAAGATGCGGCAGGAGGACCCCACTTTGACTCCAGGAGTGGCTGGGTTGCTGGGGGCATGTTCAAGTTCAAGTTCATTTATTAGGTATAGCCATGTGAGCCATTCGGCTCTTGAATCGGGTGCATGGACCACACCCAAGGGAAGATGCGGCAGGAGGACCCCACTTTGACTCCAGGAGTGGCTGGGTTGCTGGGGGCATGTTCAAGTTCAAGTTCATTTATTAGGTATAGCCATGTGAGCCATTCGGCTCTTGAATCGGGTGCAACCGCAACAAACAAAAAACAAAAACATGAACAAAAACATCTTAAAGTGAATGTGACTGAGTGCAAACAGAAAATCCAAGAAAAGACAGTAAAATATTGCAGAAAAAGCACCGCACACAAAAATGTGCAAAAATCCCAGTGGGATGCAAGTCAAATAACAACAACCACAAGACAACTTAGATTAAGGCCATCAGTCTAACTCTGTACTACAACAAATAACATGGCCAAACCAAAAAACGTATCGAAAATCACCAAAAATAAAGCCATAAAAGCAATGAAACAGTGGTCATAGGAACTGTGACCGAATTTTCACAATAAACGACGTAAACAACATGTACTACCAAACTCTGCAGCCATAGATGGCTGCATGAGTCACTCCACAACAGTAGGAGCATCAGTCGGAGTATCAACATTTTTCAATGCACCTTTAAGATCAGCACACTAAATCAAAACACAGATCATACTTTGCAGCGATCATCCGGAGCGAAACATTGTATTTTAGGCCACTAAATTGCAGTGGCAGCTAGGGGTGTACAACTCCTCTAGAGCAGTTTTGAGTGAAGATCTCATAGGTAGTGATTCAAGTTGCAGTTTATTGGCAATAGCATTCCAGACCCTGGGGGCATCAATAGCTCTCTTTAATGTTACTCTGGAGTCTGCCTGGGACGACCTAAGGGCTGGGTGATATCAAAGGGACCAAGACTATCAGGAGCCCAAAGTCAGTCCGGAGAGACATGTGGTGGTTGACCCTGACCCAGGAGATAGTACGGCCTGCCTAACCAGCTGATTAATTTGGGGGGACCACAGAGTGAACAAGACAGAATCGCCTGGGTCGAGACTGCAGGCAGTGTATCACCCTCCACAGTGAATGCTGCGGAGCTGACTTCCAGTAAGGCACCGAGTAAGTTCTGTGACGACTGTTGTGGAGTCGATAAGTTACCACCAAAATTCTAGTCCTGGTAAAACTGTGGTTAATCCTAATGTTTCCATCCTACCTGCCTATGTCAGCTGCTATTTATGACTCTGAGTACATCACCAGGTTAAATATCTGTGAGGCGGCCCAGCCACAGGAGGGATCCCCGCCACCTCCGGTGGCTGTGACCGTCTCACATTGATATGCTAATCTCTCACTTTTACGTGCAAGTTCCTTCTCTAGCTCCGCCCACTTACCCTTGGGTTGAGCCCACTAAAATCCTATATAAACTCTTGTTGCAGCAGCTCGTCTATGTCAGCAGTTCTCCTGTTATATCTGTTCCACCTGATGACGGTTGCTTGTGTTGCGATCGAAACGTCATGATTTATTTTATACCTACGTGACTTTACCTAAAGAACCAAAGAGTGTGGTTAATCCCGTTGAGGTATAGATGGAACGGGAGTCTGTAATGGGACCGTTTCTCAATATTAAAATATTTACTTGGTGATTTTAAACTACTTGATTACATTTTTTGTTAACATTACATTATTTTGTAAAATGTGTATCTGGGAATCCTTCATGAGTGTGACTGGGAGGGATTGTGGTAATCTGGGCTCATTTTCATCTTAAACTATGTATATACTCTACACCATAGAGCTCGATGTACTTCCGACCATCATCAACTAGCCAGTGAACTGGAACACGTACACCAAGCTCTCAAGATGGATATTCAGACCACACAATCCGTAAAGCTATTACCCCAGCCGTTGGGAAAGAACCATCTGAGGACCCAATCAAAACCATCACCTTGCCATACATAGCAGGGGTTACTAAAAAGATTTCCAAAATCATGAGCAAACACAAGATCCAGGTTCGATTTAACACAGTACATAAAATTCGTCATCTGATCCCATCTGTGAAGGATGCGATCCCTGACATGCAATACCTCGGCGTCTATAAACTAAGCTGTGTCTGCGGCAGTAGTTATATTTGGAAAACTAAGCGACATGTCTCGGACCGTGTTCGTAAACATAAGGCAGATCTGAAACATGGTAGGACCAATACCTCGGCCGTGGCTGATCACTGTTTTAATGCGGTGGGCTCACACGAAATTGATTTCGCCAAGACGAAGTTACTTTGCAAGCCCACTGGCTATCAACAAAGATTTGTTCATGAAGCCATCCATATATATAGATGCCAGAGGTGGGACAAAGTCATTGTTATGCAAGTCCAAGTCGAGTCTGAAGTCATCAAATTCATGACTCGAGTCTGACTCGAGTCCAAGTCACATGACTCGAGTCCACACCTCTGATAGACGCAGACACAATTTCCACCGAGAAGATGGGTACAAACTGAGCAATCATTGGAAGGACGTTATCAACCAGTTTAAGTCATAATTGGCTATGATGTTCCCATCCTACCACCTTCCGATGTTAGTTGTGCTTTACGCCCATTTCAAACTTGCGCTTTCACAGTCACATCGCGCGCCGAACCCTTGGTTGCGGCTCTGCGATCTGCCATTAACCTGCTAATCTCTCTTTAACATGCTAATTTTCACCTGGCAACCCTTTGATTGGTGGAAAATGAACCACCGCCGGGCTCTCTGCCAAACACTTACATTATCATTGGCCGCTGACATTTGGGCTACGCCCATTTCAAACCCTTATAAAACAGTTTCCCTTGGAAGCTAACCCCCCTTTTCCTGAAGACGACCGCTTGCATTGCGATCGAAACGGAGTTTTCTGTTATTTTTTATTATTTTCTTTGAGCCTATCTACGTGACTTTACAGAAAGACCCAAGAACATGTATATGCACTGGCAGGGAGCTGTACACGAACGCCCTGAGGTTCCCTCACCCTTATATCACTTTTGTCCAATCTAGAAAATGATCGTACTTTCCCACAGTTCATAATCCTTCATTTAATCGCCTTCAATGCCCCTAACGGACCTCAAACAGTCCCCTCATTTACCTAATGTCCGAGGCTCTCATTCTTAAAACTCCCTCAGCCAATCAGGTTGAATCGCTCTACGCCCCACCAATCCGGTGAGTGCCTGCGTTTAGCCAATTGCAAGAGCGGAAGGCAGAGCAGGCACTGCTGACAGCCAGCCTATAGGGGCTCACTGATGCAGATTTTGAATGCCAAAGCTGTTAGGCTCTTTACTCTTTGGTTTTTTCGGTAAAGTCACGTAGGTTAAAAAAGAAAACAAATAAATTAAATCACGACGTTTCGGAGGCAAGCCTCCGTCTTCAGGTGGAACCGTCACAGCAAATTTACTGTCTCAAGTGAAGAGCGTTCTCAGAGACACGACCTTATATACTGGGTAAGGGGAGGGGGGAGGAGCCAGGGTGGGCCGTGGGGGGGGGGTGTAAGCTGGTGAGGGGGAGGAGCCAGGGTGGGCCGTGGGGGGGGGGGGTGTAAGCTGGTGAGGTGACGACCAGTGCTGCAACTGCGGCTGCGCCTGTAGCTGCAGCCGAGGCCTTGTGATGTAGATGGCGTAAGTAGATAAGAGAGCAAGGGTTACGCCGCCTTTTGTTATGCACGCCGGTGGGTTTATTTGTTTTCTTTTTTAACCCACGTGACTTTACCGAAAAAAACAAAGAGTATGGATCCTTGCAGTCACGAAAGCTTCAAATATAGAACTGTTAGGCTCTGTTATTTAAACCGGCAAATTAATTAATAAATGAGGCATATATCCTGATGACGTTCGAATTCTCATTTCGAGGTAATGTAAAAGCCTTTGGGCCCTCATTGAGACTAACCCTTAGTCTGGCTAGCTGAGGTTTTACTGTATTTATTTGCCATTGCGGCACTGGATAGCTCTTGGTTGGATGACTATAAATACAAAACAAGTGTGTAGCTGCTGTGGAGATATATTATTAATGGGCAGTGCAGCAGAATCCATTGTTTTACAGTACTATGCTCCACAATTAGTGCTACTCACATTCAAAAACCGGCAATAACCAGCATTATGAAGTACAGTATACTCGATTATCCGCGTGCGGTTTATCTGATTTGCGGATTAACAGCGCATCTGAAAATTTGACATAAAATAATCCCACATGGATTTTCCCTTAAGCCCAAATTAATCATCTAAAAACTGTTATACATTGTTATTCTTGGAAATGTGTATTACAAGTCACGTGCTTAAACCGAATGAATGTGCTCCGGTTAATCCGAAATCCACGTGATCGCCTCCACAGAATGGTAGTGGGCGGAGTTCGATGTCCATTGGCGTGGCTCTGCGCGGGAGCAGGGAAATGTCATCACTGAGCAGGCGCATCGATCGGTTGTATCATTAGTGTTCGTTCTAAATGGAAATAGTAACAATTTAAATCGTCAGTTGCGCTTAATTGTGAGTGATTTATCCGATCATTTAAATTGTGAGTTATAATTTATACTTATTTGTGATTTTTCGAATAGAGATCTGCAGAAAATATATATTTTTGGATAATCCGCAATTTTAAATTATCCACGGCCGTCCTCCCCGTCATTTATAGCGTGGATAATCTAGAGTCTACCGTATTGTCAAATAACCCTCTCAACTTGCAATGGATGAATGGCTGTACATGTGTGCTATGTATAACTCATGTAAAACGAGCCTTTACATCTCAACTTTAGCATGGTCGATTGGGCATCATCATCAACTTCCACACATCCATTTGGCAGGTGGCATGAATGATCAGTTGCACTCACGGCGGAGCGACTGCCCATGAAGAACACGGTGGACTCTGTGGGCTGGGCGCTCCCAGCCCCTGTCCCCTCCTGTCCACCGGCTCGAGTTTTCACCTCCGCCAAGGCAATGTCCCAGATTGTATCCCTAGCGAGACAGCACAACCAACAACAACCACCGTTCACTATTATGTGGCGGTGACGTCACCACGGTGTTTCTGCTATGCTCGGTGCATTTTGAGGCCACGTGAAGTGTTGAGTGTTGAAGGCCCGCTGGCAGGTCATGGGTTGATTGGCACATGTGCCAACTGTGTTCCCTACTATGCCAACTGTGTACGTTTAGCTGCCCGGCGTTCTGCTCATTGTTGTGAGCGGTGCTCCTCTGCCCTTCGCTGTTACTGGAGGGCGACTGCCTCCAACTCCCCATCAGCGTCCTTGACCATCCTGCTCCACAGACGCTGATCTTGACACTCCCTGCCTGGCACCAGTCATCAACAAGTCCAATCAGCTTCACATCCTTCTGAACCACATCAGTCCATATCTTTCTAGCTCTGCACAACCAAGCATCAGGTCTGACACACGGAGGTCTGCATGTCTTTACATGTCCTAATAATCGTAGTCGTGACTGGTTCTCATCTCTGTTGCCGGCCTTGAGCTGGTGGGGGGCAATTAATCTCGCCACGGTGGCGAGATGTTAACTTACTCGCCTGGTCGTGGTCATCGCTTTTATCTACCCCAAATATCGACGTCACAGACCGATTTGTCTATTCACTGTTCACTGAGGGCCTCATCACGCCGGTCAAGGCGTTTGACCATACTTCACCACGCCGGTGAAGGCGTGTAGCACAGGAGCATTGTACTGCACTGTATTAGCTCCGTAGAAGCCTTGAACGCCTGTCACGCCTGTTTGTACACGGCTGTCGCCATCCAGTCTCGGCCCTGCGAATTATGAAGAGTCATTGCCCGAAACGTCGAATATATTTCTTCCTTTACGCGTAGTTATTTACGAATGTGATGAGTTTTTGTGATGTGTGCCTGTTTCACCACTGCCAATCCAGTATCAGCTGAATCATTCCTGCAATGAGCAAACGACGACTGCCCCGTCAATGCCGTAATCGAACAATCGATAACTTAAAATTGGCGTCGGCAAGAGGCGCCGTTGCTATGGGTACGCCGGCCTTTGTCGAGCAGCGAGTTAATTTGCGTTAATAAGCAAAGGAAGGCGAACGAGCACTCACGGTTGCCGCGACATTGTTCAGGACGCGTCACTTGACACTTCGAATCGACTGCAATGCTTCAGTGTCCACAGATGACTCTGCAATGCTTCAGTGTTCACAGATGACTCTGCAATGCTTCAGTGTTCACAGATGACTCTGAAACGCGCCGAGCCAAAAGCCTTGCCCGCGCTCGCAAACTGGACTCGTGACGTACGGCCAGGCATGCCGGTGACGTCATGACGCCAACCGTCGTGACGTCATCACGCTGCGCACGTCTCGATAAGCACGGACTCTGCGATGGGGTGTCCCGTGCGATGGACGTCATCGTGCAAGTCTGGGAAATACGTGGCTACGTCATCACGCACGATGTGACGCCATCACGCACGATGTGACGCCATCACGCACTTTGGCATTGCCAAGGAGTAGACGGTGCCTGGCATTCTAGATCTGAAGCTTTCGTGACTGCAAGGATTCATATTCTTAGGTCTTTTCGGTAAAGTCACGTAGGTAGAAAATGTAAATTATTAAAAGTATATTATTATTTTTTTGTTTTACTTTTATTAATTAAAATTTCTTTACCTACGTGACTACCGAAAAACCCTAAGAATAAGGCATCTCTACATCTTAGAGTCGAATCTCTCCGCTTAAATACATAATTGAGTAGAGCTCTTTACCTCCAATGTTCTTGATGTGCAGTGCACTGATGTATTCATCTTGACTTAAAGCTTTCGTGACTGCAGGAAATCATACTCTTTGGGTCTTTCGGTAAAGTCACATAGATAGAAAAATAATAAAATAATAACAAATCACTGCTGATATATTATCTTATTATTTTTCATTCTACGTGACTTTACCAAAATACCCAAAGAGTATGATTTATTGAACTTTGAAAGAGGATAAAAGGCGCCGATCACCCAATCATGTACTGTAGCTACAACTTTTATCCAAGACCCAATTTAGCTCCAGGACGTTCCTAGGATCGTCCTCGAAACATCTGCCAATCGTGTCGAACGAGCATCAAGTTGGGCCATCCACCCCCTTTGAGGAAATCCTAGATCGATGGGCCGGCATAAAAGGAAGACGCATAATAACTTAATTGTGAGTATTGTACCTTTAACTCGTTTTCATACTGTCACTGTGAGACTGTCTTCCTCTAAGGGGCCGTCCATAAATGACGTCACGCGATTTTGGACGATTTTAGATTCCCCCTTCGTCACACGGCGTCACAAAGAGTCACACCCCCCTCAAATATGACGTCACAAAATTCTGCCCCCCCTCCCCAACATAAAACATGCTTAAAATATCTTTAAACTATTGTCATTGTAGTGTGTATTTAATGTGGCGCTGCTCTCTGATGTTGTAGGAGAAAAATGTACTAAAAAGTCTATTTAATTAAGTCGAACGTGTTGTCTATATTTATTTAAAGTTGCGCATTTTCATGTGACGTCACATTTCTCAACCCCCCCCCCCCCCCCCATCGTCACACATCGTCACAAATGTCTGACCCCCCCCCCCCCAGGTGCGTGACGTCATTTATGGACGGCCCCTAATCCCAATATACGGTTTAACTAAAATAATATGTAGTTATCGCCTACATATTTTTGTTTATGGGTTAAGAAATCCTAATCTATTTTTGTAAAAGTGAGGCCGGAGACAGGAGGGGGGCCCACAGTCGTAGCTCGCGACAGCCCCGTTGGAATTGGTGGTTGCACGCAGCTGGTGGGGGCTGTAATCGTGTCGAGGTCGCTATCGGCGCATTCTTGATCGACACAAGTCACGTGATGCCCTCTTGTGGACAAACGCACAACTACAGCTACAGTCAGTTTAACACGTAGGCTTTCGCGACCAATGTTATTCATAATCAACGATTTTTGGGTTTAGATCGCGTTTATTTATAAATGTGTCGTAACCCTCCACCACCCGACACGGCCAATCAGTAAAAATGTGTCACGTTGACAAAGACAAATAGTTCACTGCTTTAGCCCACCGGTGTGTTGAAGCAACAACATTTACAATTTGAGTACGACGTTTCGCTGGTAATTGCAACCAGCATCATCGGGCAATTCGCCAGAATGGTGAACTATTTGTCTTTGTCAACGTGACACATTTTTACTGATTGGCCGTGTCGGGTGGTGGAGGGTTACGACACATTTATAAATTAACGCGATCTAAACCCAAAAATCGTTGATTATGAATACAGCTACAGTGTCGGTTTCATGTATTTGGCGTAGCCCTGTGAGCCATTCGGCTATTGAATCGGATGCAACCGCAACAAACAAAAACATGAACAAGAAACATCGTAAAGTGACTACGCGCAAACAGAAAAATCCAGGAAAAAACAGAAAAGTCTTTCAGAAAAAGCACCGTATATCAATGCTGTGCAAAAATCCCAGTGGGATGCAAGTCAAACAATAACAACCATAAGACAATTTAGATTAAAGTTATCAGTCTAACTCTGTACTACAACAAACAAATATGGCTAAACCAAAACGTTTTCGAAATCACCAAAATAAAGCTATAAAAACAATGTAACAGTGATCATAGGAACTGTGATTATAAATTTACAATAAACGATATACACAACTTGTACTACCAAACTTTGCAGCCATAGCTGGCTGCATAAGTCACTCCATAATAGCAGAAGTATCAGTAGGAGTATCAACATTTTTCAATGCACCTTTAAGATCAGCACACTATAATCAAAACACAAGATCATACTTTGCAGCGGTCATCCGGAACGAAACATTTGATTTCAGGCCAGTTAATAGCAGTGGCAGCTTGGGGTGTACAACTCCTCTAGAGCAGTTTTGAGCGAAGATCTCACAGGTAGTGATCCAAGCGGCTGCCTTGCAAGGAACAAAATACCGTAACCGAGCAGAACAAGTCTCCACATAAACACTGTGAGTGTCTCGACTCATCTCGTCAGCCGCACGACCTTCTGAGAGTGCATCTCATCAGCGGCATTGAATCAACACAAGACATCCCCTGACAGGCTTCGGACACTCAGTGTCTCGTCAGCAGTCACGCTCGCTTGCTATAACTACAATCGAGTATTGTTACCAGTGCACAGCACTGTACAGGCTCGCTTGAATCAACACTGGTGAAGTGCCAGATGCTATTGGTTATTGGCATGGACCCACTCTGTTAGATATGGAACCTCGTTCAGCACTGGACTCCACGCATTGGCTCGATCCTGGCCCTGCAATATCACTGCAATGCACGGACACGCGGCGCCCTCTCGTGGACGAATCTATGGCTGCAGATTATTGGGTGAAGCTGCCTTTGGCAGCGGTACACGAACGCAGTTACCGTCAACATCAAACAAACTCCACACATTCTTCATTAACCATAACTCTTTTAAAAAAAAACGCACACAGGCAACGTTTCGGGGACGACCTTCCGCACCAAGTGGCAGAGTCGGTGCGTGGCCTCGTCCCGCGACATCTGGTGGTGGCGGTAGGAATGGGACTTGGACCCAGGGAGGAGACCTCGCCCGCTCAACAACTTAAGCAACATGGACACTCGCTAAATATCGACAAACTAATCTCGTTTTTAACCAAAATTGGCCAAATTTCCATCGTGTGGTTTTTCAATGAGAAGTTAATTTCTCCATTGTTTTAGTCATACGATGATAAATATAAAATACAAATTGGGGAATATAAGAAATATGTTCTTTCTTGCGTGAAAATAATCGACATAAATGATAAATATAACTTGAGGATGCACCCGGGGGTAACTGGGCGATGGTGATAGGCTCTGCCGGCCTCAGCCCACAGCCAATGGGACGTCGAGCCAGGGGCGAAGCCCTGGGGCTGTATAGCAACATCTAGAAGGTTTCTAGGGGTAAGGCGTATGATTGGCTGCGTGGCATCACGTGAGCCAGGTGATATAAGGGGTGGAGAGAGACAGCTCGTGGTCAGTGTGGAGAAGTTCGAGGAGAGACCATGTATGCGCCTCTAGCACGCCAGCGGCCACGTAGCAGTCCGGAGGCTGTCTCCAGAACGCTGTTAGCCAGCGGTGTGAGGGAGTGAGGAAAGCGAGCGAACGCCACGCTCGAATAACGGGAGTAACGGGAAAATGAACCCAGCGGTGTGAGAGAGCTGTGAAAAAATTAACCCGTAAAAAAAAGTTTTTCACTATAAATCCTTTATATGCGTGTTCAATGGGCCACAACCCAGCCCACATTGGTCTTTGAAACGGGCGGCTAAAGTCATCTCGTCCTCTGGCTTGAGATGGCTGCCACCTATGGGTCAGACGATTGCCTGCCACCATTAAGCAATTGGTAATTAAATATAAAAAAAATTACCTAAAAAGTGTAAAATTTTGGAAATTCTTTTTTCACGAAAAGAAATTTTCACGCACAACGAGTCTGTGTGCAAAATGTCAGCTCGATTGGATCACGGGAAGTGGGTTAAAAAACGACCGAAAGATTTGCACGGTCGTAAGCGCGCAAGCAAGTTAACTTAATATTAAGGATTTAAAATGAACCCGTAAAAACAAAGTTTTTCACTATAAATCCTTTATATGCGTAGCAGCTAGAGTCCTCTCGTCCTCTGGCTTGAGATGGCTGCCACCTATGGGTCAGATGATTGCCTGCCACCATTAAGCAATTGGTAATTAAATATAATGTATTTTTTCCTAAAAAGTGTAAAATTTTGGAAAAAAATTTTTTACGAAAATAAATTGTCACGCACAACGAGTCTGTGTGCAAAATGTCAGCTCGATTGGATCACGGGAAGTGGGTTAAAAAACGACCGAAAGATTTGCACGGTCGTAAGCGCGCAAGCAAGCAAGCAAGTGAACTTAATATAAAGGATTTAAAAAAGAAGAACGAATAAAGACAAGAAAAGAGATACGATATTGTCCGGATGGGTTTATTACAAATATATTCTGTTGCCAAATTTTCATAGTATGATTTTTCAATGAAAAGTACATCCTCTATTGCCTTTAATCACACTACACTATGTATATAGAATCAATATTGCGGAATTTAACAAATACTGTATGTAGTTTTTGCGCTGAAAAAATCTGCATACATAACCTAAGTTGTTCGTCGCCAAACTTGGACAAATTTTCAGTTTTACTTTTTCAATGAGAAGTTTATTTCTCCTTTGCCTTTGGTGATATTGTGCTACATATGTGTAGTGGGCTTATGTGACGACGGAAAAGGTTGATGGAGGCAACACGTATTTATTACAGATAAACACAATTACAGCAGAGTAGTGACCCT